AGTAATTTGATTAAATAAACAGATTTGGTTTTTAAGCCTTCATAGATTTTCAGCTTTTATATCTTTAATTATTGCAGCCCTGTTGCAATGTACTAGTTATCTTTACTTTTCTTTGGGAGGTTACTTGATGCTCCATGTATTGTTATCCATGGCACAAGATGTTAATACAGAAGGGAATAGACTTTCATAGCTCTTGACTGTGAGTTTTATGTATTAAATTTCATAATTTTTGATTTGTATTTCCCCACTGTGCCACCCCCAGCTTCTGGGTGGTTTTGTGTGCACGGTGAGAGAAGACCAGAACTGAGTAGGATGATTGGAGTTTATAGCTGACCTAGCCAGAGGGATTGGCATTTTCCTGCTCTGTGGCATTTACCTTGGGTGTAACCCACAACTGCAAATTTATCTAATACAGCATCTGAATTATTCCAGAATCTTGTTATTTTGTGGTCTTCTGTATTCTTGTACACAAGCATTAAAGAGCAGAACTGGTTTTTTTTGCGTATTTAGCCGATTTTTTGTGTTGGTCATGATTTTTAGTTTTGTGTTGCCACCTGCCAAATATTACTACTGCAGTTAGTACTTGCATATTTTATTTTTAAAATTAATGTATTTTCTTTATAGGTTTGATCCTTTTCAAACTACTAGTAACTACTGTATGTGAAGTAAATGTGAGAAATCATGTTTTCAGTTACTTTCAGTTCTTGTATTTTTGTTCTGATGAATCTTCACCATTCTTACTAGTCAAGTCACCTGCGAGTAGGTTAGCACTGCAGTTGCAATGCAAATTTCAATAATTTAATTTAGCTGGAAAAACAATTTTTAAGCAAGACTAATAGTATTTAAATCACTTTGGACAACTAAGAGGTCTGAGAGTAAAATTTTGCTTATTTTAAGAGAAATCGATCGTAAAAGCATCTTTATGTGCGGGCTCTAGGTGGCAGAATTGTCCCACGTCTGTGCCGTTCCCAGCAGTGAGACCTGAACAGCAAATTGAAAAAGTCAAGGTGTGCCAGGCTGAGAGCAGCTGGTGTCCTCTCCAGTCCTGCAGGTGGAGCAGGAGGCTGGCTTTGGAGCGGCTGGCACCAGTGTCACCGCACGCCGCGAGTGCCCAAACTCCAGTTTATGCACGACTGGCTTCCTTAGTAAAACTAGGCAGGCTCTTTTATTGCTGCCAGGTGCTACTGCAAACGTTCTGAATGTAGCATTTAAAGCATTTTAAAATCTGGGCCAGATTTTAAAAACTGTATTTACATTGGGCAATAATAAATCTTGTTTTGTCCTTACGTGCCTTGAATTTGACAAAAAAAAAAATTATAGAATAAAGCATTATGGTTTCCTGAAAGAATATTTAGGTCAGCTATAAAGTAATTCCTTAAATACTACTCTAACATAACTATTAAAAAATCATGTATTTCCATATCCTGCATTGATGGGGGAAATAAACTAGGATTATGTATCAAGGGGATTGGGGTTTTTGAGATTTTATGCTGTACTGTATTTTCAGGCTGTTACAGTGTTGCTGCTGTTTCACACATCTGAATTAAAATTTCAAATTAAATGTTTCAGTTGTTTTTCATATAATATTCTTGCTATAAAAAATGTGAAGATAAGCTAGAACAAGTGAAAATTGCACATTTTCCTGAACACATAGTCCACAAATATAGAGGGAGCTGTACAGGAGCATAGTCCACAGCTGTACAGAGAGCAGATATACTCACAGCTATGTTTTCAGTTCAGCTTTAGTAATACACAGTTAATTTCTTGAGTGGAACACAAAGAAATGCCCAGATGAACTTTTTGTGAAAGGAGCATCTGATTTTTATTTTTTTCCCCAACAGTTAGTAACAAGTTCAATTTTTATCAACCTTTTCTCATAGGCTCCCTAATCTGAAGCTTGACAGTGATCATGTGCTCTTACTTGTTAGCAATATAAATTCCAGTAGTGTAATGTGAATTTCTTAAACTGCCATTGTCCTGAAAGCAGGATCACAAACACCTGGTTTATTCAGGTGGTTAATCTACACCTCCTGTGTGGCAGTGTGCTTGTTGTGTGCCCCAGCACAGCTTGCCTAGCTCAAAGCGTGCAGAGAGCAGTTTGAGGGGCACCATGAGTTCCTGCAGTTGGGAATTACAAGAGTAGGAAGGAGAGAAGATCAACTTCAAACTTGGTGAACACTTTGCAAATTGAAGATAAATATTCTGAAGGCATATGAGTGATGTCTTAAATGATTTTTTACTTTTTTGATTTGAATTTGAGATTTAAATATGTGCTTTAATTTTAGATGTGCAAAATATTTTCTTTTAAATATACAGTTTATCACTTCATGTTCCTTATGAGCAGTGTTTTAATTTCTGCTGTACTCTTATGAGGCCATCTCAATGCTGTTTTTCTTGTCATGCCATATATAGGAATTACTGCAAATGTGTGATAGGAATGTTGCCTTTTTGGCACAGCATCATGCCTTTCAGTCTGCCAATGGCTGTAAAGGATTTAGCAGTGTCTCAGCATATCAAGCAAATGTGTAAAGAAATGTAGTTGGGGCTCAATTCTTCCTTCTCCAGCCCTACTCTAAGCCTGGACAAGTCAAAGCTCTTGATTTTCCTGGGATGCATGTCAAAAAAATCCTTACTGTCACTTCAAATACGAGTTTTTTTGAGTTTATATGGTTTTTCTTAGGCTTTTCTTTCTCTGTAGTGAAACACCAGAGTGTAAATCTGATTAAAAATTGGTTGCAACTTAGCTATAGGAAAGTTTTGAAGCACTGTAAGCCATATTGTGTAACAGGGTATATATTTCTGGTTTCACATGTTAGATTTAAGGGTTTTTCTTTGTCAGATGATTGAGATGAAGTGTACTTGTCTTCAATTATTTTTTCCTCTAGAATTGTTTTCAATTAAGCTGAAACCAATGCTTATCCTTGATGATTATTATTAGAAAAATATTTCTTTATTTTTGCTAGCATGATGAAGCTGCTGTAGTGACTAGAAGTCTTTGTTAATCACAGTTAGGGTTATGGTGGGCTGCAGAAATTAAAGGCTGCAATTTTTTAGAATAACCTGTGATATATTGTGATGGAAGTATTTTTATTACAAAAGAAATTTAGTTAGTTAGACTTCATGAAGCCTTCCTCATCAGAGAAGTCTGATGTGACTGGCCCTGGGATTTCTCCACAAACATCCTGGCATTAAATCACCACTAGTGAGAGTAACTTGATTTGATGTGTGTTAGTCACTGTTTTGGCAAGGGATAGAGCGTCTGTGCAGAGAAACAAATATTTTGATGTTTTGGGGTTTTTTTTCCCTCTTCTGCTGTCCCTCAGACCAGAAGTTTTTGGTAGTAAAAATGTTGCACTTGGTTTAACTAAGTTTAACTAAATCTAGGGCAGAAGCTAATGGATATTCATATTCTGATCTCTGAAGGGATGAACAATGAAAACTTAGCAGTCTTCAACTCTGCAGGGCATTACAAATCAGCAGGTACGTGCAGTGCACTTGCTGCTCAATCATTTTTCTGTCACAGTAATATAATCCCATATCCCTGACCAAGCCAGTGACCAGCAAGAAGATGATGTTAGTTTGAGTGCTTGTTAAAACACTGCTGGTTTTATTCCCTTCCAAACAGTCATTAGTTGTGGCCCTGGGGGACTTGCATTTTCATGCTGTGGAAAAAAGATATCAGCAAGAACATTTCTGATTCTGTGCTTATTAGTGGCTTGTTTTCAGCACATGGGAGAAACAACCTTGTGGGATTTTTTACCTGAGTTTGGTCCAGGATGTGCAATTTAAGGCTATTAAAATCCCATGTATTTAAATGCCTTGGAAAAGTTAATCATCTGAAGTTGCAACTCCCTTTAAGACTATATTAACTGTAGGTTTTATAAGCAAAATCCGGATGTGAATGTTGGTTGTAACTTCCTTGTGACTGGGAGATTTGGCTTCTTCATGGACAGTCACCCATAAAACCTTGCTCCTGTTGTTAATTAGCTCCTCCTTGTGAGTTTCAGAAGATGGAGTAGCCTTGTTTCCTAGACAGTGTGTGATAAAGCACAGCAATAACAAAAATTTTGATTGATATGATGCCCAGGCCAGAGTTTGGGAGAAGTCTGAATTTCCAGTAAAAGCTTGTAGTTAAGACTTTAAGTATCTTTTTATAATTGGTATGTGCATGGCTTGCAGCTCTTGCAAGGGTTTTTTTCCTTTTTTTTTTCCCTAGGGTTTTTCTGACTGAAAAGAACTTTAAATACAGTTTTGTGTGAGTTCTTTGAGACTTTGTCAAAAGAACTGGGTTTGCTCAGGGGATGGTTTTGCCTTTATAAGTGGTTTCTGGTGGTTTTCCAGTTCCTGCCCTTGGTGGCTTGCAGTGGATTGACAAGATGTTCACTGAGGTCAAGTGAGCAGGCTTAGGGAAGCTGTGCAGTACAACTCTCTAAGTGATTTCTAAGTGAAAATCACACCAGAAATCTTTGTTTTGTAATTCATGTATTTGTTTCATGATGCCAGTGATGTTAACACCACTTCAGTGTTAATATATAATACTCTGGAACAGTGTTGGCATTTTGTGCATACTTTATATTATTCTGAACCAGAAAAAAAAAAAAAAAAAAGCTGTTTTCCCTAATTGATAGAAAGGTTTCTTTTACTGATGAACCATTACTGAAAATTGACATTAGTAGGGGACTTTGTGTACAATTAACTCTGTACTTTATAGGTTACAAGTGCTTTGAGAGGAGTTTGGTTTACCCTGTGATGTAATGAAGACAGTTAGATTTAGCAGGTGTGGGCCTTAAAGAACAGGGGATAGCAGTGATGCCGTAAAACCCTGTTAATGTTTGGATGCTGTCTCAGAAAAGGGGTCAGAAATCAGCTCTTTAGAAAATTGGTGCCCCAGTTTTGGTTTTCAGTGAAATGTAAGCTAAGGAAGTGGTGTGTTCCATCTGGACAGTTACGTGAAATGCAGATGGTCAGTAAGGTTCACAGGTACCTGATATCTTTTTCAGAACTTTGCCAAGAATATTTTTGCAATTCTTCAATCAGTCAAAGCCAGAGAAGAAGGCCGAGCACCTGAGCAAAGACCTGCACCAAACACAGCACCAACGGTAAGAGCCGTGTGTGGCTGAGCCCCGGGGCTGGGACACCACAAGTGGGAGTACAGTGTCTTCTCACTACTGCACACACAATTTGTTCGGCTTCACTTCCAAAAAACACATATTTTTCAAGCATAACTTCACAGCTATTCTTTGACTTAAGTTGCATGGTATTTAAAGAGTTGAATATATCAGTTTAATTAGTTCAATATGCTCTTGTTAGAGATTAATCTGCTAGTGCCAGCTTCTGCATCTATCAAGCATTAGCCACATGCTGCATCTATTAGCAAAAAGTGTATTCGATGAGAGTGCTGCCATTTCAGATGAAATGTTTTGCTGCTTTTCTGACAGATAGGGTAGCAAATGTTTAAGAATCTGGAGCATGACTCATGAGTGGGAACAGCTCGAACCAGCTTTCCTTTGCCTGTAATAAATCAGGACAGACTTAGAGCTGTATTGTTTACTTCTATCCAGGTATTAGACAGGATTTGTTTAGAAGTGTGGTGTTTACTATTGTGTTCTATTAAACCTAATATATCTTTAAACATGGTGGTAGTCTGCTCTAAAAGCTGTTTAATTGTACTGTGTTTTGTTTTTGCTGCTACTGCATTTAACAAAGAACTAAATTTAAATAGCGAGATGAATTCCAACATGTAAATATTTGCTTTGTGTTGAATTTCTTAAATTGTGCATGGCATTATTCAAATGTCCTACTCAGAATAAATGTGAATACGTAACTAAGCTATCCACAAAAAGGATTGAATTGATATTGAGAGTGCCTCTAGACTGGTGCTTTTTGAAAACTTTTTTCCCAGAATGCCTTTTTTCCTCCCCTCAAAATTTGTTTTTATTTATTTTATTTAGCAAAATTTTATCTTAATCAGGCTGACAAGGGAGATTTTGTGTGGCTGAAGCCTTAATCATGAATTGTCAGTTAATTTTTTTTCCTCAGTAATTCTTTAAGTATAACAAAAACTCAGTGGAGATTTTAATAATGTAGTTTGTTACTGTTTGTTATTTTAGTTTTACCTCAGGTTATTCTCTTTGCATTCAGTACTAAACTGTTTTTGTAAGACTTTAAGTGGATATTGAATGAAAACATCACAAGTTTTCAAATGCATTGAAACTCCTAGAAAAATGAACTGGTTTTATACTCTTGAGTAGTTCTAAGTTACTCTTCATGAAATTCAAAAGCCATCAAACACCTTTTAGTATGTTTTACACGTGTTATTTGCCTGTTTTAGGATCCCACTTTACGAAATAAGCAACCTATTCCAGCTGCATACAACAGATATGATCAGGAAAGATTTAAAGGCAAAGAGGGTAAGTTGATTGCAATGCTTTTTTCAAAACTAAAAAAAAAGTAGAGAACCAAAACTGTCCAGTCACCAAGTTCATATTAGGGGATTTTACCTGCTATTATTTCACAAACTTATGGAAAGACAATATAAGAGCTGTAACTATGCCTAAAGGTAGCTTTCCAAGTAATAAAATCCAGAGATATTATTTCATAGAAATTATTTCTACCTCTTAGGAAGCAAACTGAAAGCTTAAAACCAGAACTTCTTCCGGGGGAAAAAAATTGTTTGGGGAGGGTCCTATGCAATTATAAAAAAATCACAAGTGCAAGGATAACTGTCAGGTGCATAATATGTAATTAGATTCCTTCTCCTCAAACAACCACAGTTACTCTAAAAGTTGCCTCCAGTAATTCCAAGTAAATATTATCTAGTTGTGTCCATTTAAATTAAAAAACAAACTGGGAACAGCAGTGCAAAACACAGGCATCCTCCTGGAGAGGAGATGGAAACAATCTGCAATATTGAAGAAGTCTCACCAGTTTGAAAAGATGGTGAACATTGAACTTGAATGATAATTTGTCTTTTTTAATGCAATTTTTCTCCTGTTCCCATTGCTTTTTTTATCTTGTTTTTAGCACAAGTTCAGTTACTTCACTTTTCATATCTTGCTGTGGTTTTATTTTGCAATCTTGTGTTTGTTGTGCTTGGATGGTTTTGTGTTTCTTGAAGAAGGTCATGCAAATTTTGTTACACTTCTGAATTGCTTCTTCCTCCTGTGTGACTCTGAGAATGTGGTGTTGGGGTTTCACTTGGTGCTGGAATGGGATTGACTGGCCTGCAGCAATTGTTCCAGTTGAAAGATTCTTTTGTGATGAGGTCATATTGTACCTGCCTAACCCACTGTCACACTCCATTCTAGAGAGTGTTTTTCTGCCTTAGCTTTCTGGTTACTTATATTTGGTGTAGTCACACAAAGTTAATTTTGTATTTCAGGTTTCTAGGGCTATTTCAAGAAATACACAGGTTAAGAATACCAAGTTAGCTAAGTGTAGGCTAGCACTGGAAATAAAAATGAGGTGTTGGAAAGAAGGTATTTTAAACATGAGATTGACTTATAAAAGGTATTGGTACATCACTTACGGAAGTTACACAGAATTAGTAATTAACATCTGGATTTCTTAGGAGAGGACCTAGAGATATTTGAGATCTTCTTTGGCTTCAAATTAACTTCAAAAAATAGCGAAGATCTCATTTACTTCTAGAGTATTCTATTGTAAAACCATTAACTTTTAAATTGTAGTCTAGCTGGAACTCTGAGTACAAGTGGTTTTCCTGTCATAATTAGGCATTAATGCACAGATTATGTTATTTTCTTAAAACTGAATGATGCACATCACTTGCAGCTCTGTCACAAGTTCCTTATGGGATTTTTAATTTAGTTGTCCTCAAAATGAAGCTGTGGCTCCCAAATATTCAGTGTAGAAGTGTGACTACAAGCAGAAAAGTCATCAATAAAAATAAAATAAGGGGTTTCTTTTTCATTAAACTCTTTTTTTACAATAAGTCTAGTAAGAACTTGGAATTCCACTTGTTTATGGAAAGGTTGCAGTATTGGGACTTTGGGGAAAGAATTCTGAAGGAAAAGAAAGATAATTAAGTTCAAAGGATAATAACTTGCAGTCTTTATGCCATTGTATCCACATTTATTTAGTGATGGTGGATAACACCTATGATAAAGCTGAATCCTACAGATTTCTGAAGGCTTTCCACACCTTGCCCTCTCTGACTGCCTGTGTTGGCTGCAAACTGTGGAAGGCAGGATGGTGTGGTGCTTCTATCAATGGGCACAGTGGTGGGCTTGGCTAAAGACAGAAACAAAGCCAAAGGGCAGTGTCTCTTGGCTTTATTCTTTGTGTCTCACCTGTTTGCTCTTTCCTCAGAGGTATTGAAATCCTAGGAAGGGTTCACAGTAGTCCTCTTCTAGTTGCAGCAGGATTGTGGCATATTGCCTATATTCAGTTTTGTATGATACTACAGTGTTTAAAGTTTAGGCAGCAAAGAGGTGAACTGTTTTTCTTCGAATATTTGTGGGCTTTAATAGAGAGTTTTTCCATTAGCTGTCTTGTCCTTAGCATAAGAAATTCAAAGCTTGTAGAGCTAAGAGAGTAAATTTAGGAATTTTAACATGCATTAAGTAAACTGTTGAGTTGCAGCCAAATTTCTCTACTTCTTGTGGTGGATCATTATTTCTGATGCAATGTATCAGGATGCCTCTCTGGTAGACTAACTTAAAATTTCATGCCAGATGGGCCATGCTTTGCTGCTAGAGTGGTTTAACAGTCAGTGTGAGGGGGTGGTGATTGTGCTGTTCCTGAAGAGCAAACAGTGAGTTCCAGGTGCATTCAGTGGCACTGCTCAGCAGCCAGGGGCAGGGCTTGGTCACCTTTTGTCCAGGAGGATCTTGATCCTGCAGCTTTGGTCAGGCTGGACAGAGAAACCTTCCCTTTGACATCCTTCATGTTCCATGATGCATTGGAATGTTGTTTGCAGTAGGAATTGCACATCCTGGATGTTTCCACATGGAAAGTGGAAAACACGTGGCTTGGCAGTGCACCCATCCTGCCCAGCTGCTCAGATGTTTTGGGGGTGAGGAGGTGAACTGCTGGCAGGCACTTCCCTTGGGTGCTGTTCCTTGGCTGTTGCTTTGGCTTTTCTTTCATGCTGGCAGTTAGTGATGGTATCTTCTCTTCAACAGCATAGAGCTCCATCCTGTGCTACACTTCCTCTGCTTTTACCTTGGTAGTCCTATTCCTTTCCTTTGTATTACTTATTGAGTGTTTTTTTATACTTTATTAATGTGCATCTTTACAACTGGAGAAATTTTTCCAAAGTGCAATTTGTCATACCTTCTTGAGCAATATAATTTTAAAATCTTGTTCAGGATTTAGAAATCCTGTGCTCAAATGCCATTTGAGGAGCTTATTTTGTGTTCTCTCCTGTGTGCCTTAATGTTTGATATTTAAATATACATTATTGATATATATGTCTTGGATGTTATACTGTCTTTTCCCCCCATTTTCTTGGGTGGCTTTACCTCAGAAGATTTTTTCACATGCTTGTTCTGTAATTTCCAAGTGTGCAGTAGTGCTGGGATGGTAGTCTTGCAGATGTAACATTTTTGTGACCCACATCTCTCAATATGGATGGCAAAGTCAAATTTCCCTGTGCTGCTCCAAGGTCAGGTCTTTAAGGCTTATTTCAGGAGGGTTCCTGTTGTTCTCAAAGTTTAAACATAGTAGCAGCCAATTGTTACTACTCCCCCCAAAATAAAACAAAAAACCCCCAAAACCTCCAGCAATATTCAGTCCTGCTTAAAGTAAATCAGAGAGTCTTGCTGTGTGATTTCACTGTAATGGTGAAAAGAATTTTCCTGACTGTGTTCAAGTGTTTCTTTCAGGAAAATTTACTATTGACTCCCTGCTATTGTCATCTTACATTTTTACTGGATTTTCAGACACAGCTGCCATTTTCCAGAAGTTTGTCAGTCCTAAGTGCTAAGCCCAGGGAACAGGGGACTGTGAAGTTATTATATTTGAGGTGACTCTGGACCACAACATTTTGTTTCTCTCTTGTGTACATTGTTAAGAAAGTTTCTTTATAAGGCATTTCTCATTATAAGTTATTTTGTTTTAAATTGTGTGCTATCCTTTTACACAGGAGAGTAGAATTGGTAGCAGGAGAAAAAAGGTTCTGAAGTTTTACTGGTTAGACTTAGTTTGACTGGTTAAACTTTCATTTGTTGCATTCACTTTAAGATTTATGTGATTTTTTTTTATTTTTTTTTATTAACAGAAAGTATGTGCAAGAGATGCACATGTGGAAAAAGAATGTGGTCAATCTAAATTTTCTGGCTTGGTGTGACAAAATAGTTTAAAAACTTCCAACACTGCACATTCATTTCTGTGCTGGAAAGTACACATAAATTGCTTTTACAATACACATAAATTACTGTGAGAAACTTAAGATGTTGGTGTTAATTACTGGTAAGATTATTACAGAGCTGTTATATATGAACTGTACAGAGAATTTGTAAAGTAATTAGTGTAACTTGGAAATTTAGGTGTGAAACTTACTTGTTAGGATGCAGTACTGTAAAGGAGTGCTCAGTAAAGTCTCATGCAGAGTGACATTTGGTGTCAGGGATTAAATTACTGGGGCTGTGAAGTGGGGTAGTGAATCATTTCCAGGCAGTATGCAGAGTGTTGCTATCTGGGGCTTGAAGAGTACACAGCTGAAAAAAGAAGTGGTTATTCAGTCTTATTCAAACCAATTCAGCTCTTCAGAGTCTGAGACATGATACTTGGTTCTGTTTTTATTTCCCTTGACTTCCTTCTAGAAATTCAGGTTAATTTGAGTCTTTTTCAAGCATTTATTCTTTTGGTAATGTATCAGAGCTCAAGTCTGTAGTTGGATTGGATGACTGGAGCTGCAGAAGGTGCAGAATCAAAGTGCAGGGTGACCTAGATGGATGTGGAGCAGTGGCTTTAAGCAAATGCAAGGCACCCTGAGCATTAATACTTATATGCAAGGAAATGGAACATGCACCCAAATGCTGATGGAGAATATCATCAGTCCAAAAAGCTGATGTATTAGGGTGCCTATTTTCATTTCCGGGTCTAATTATTTTAAATAAGAGAAGGTGCTCAGATTGATGCATGGGGATGCTGGAAAGGTAACTTGTGATGAACTACACTGGAAATGTTTATGGTTCTTTTACCGTCTTTAGGTTGTGGAACTGACAAACTGTGACCATAATATAGGCAGAGAGTGAAGAAGAAAAAAAACCCGTGGTTATAGGTTGTGTTTCTGAAGCATTAGAGTTGTTTATTCAGTTCTAGTTATTATGTTTAGTCTCTCGAGATGTAGTTTTAAGGCATCTGTTGATGTTGGTGTTTCTAACAATGCATGTATTTCTAAAATTGATTCTATTTGGCAAAGAAAAGGTTGCAGTACACGTTTTCATGACAAAATTATTGTTGGGCTTTGCTTGCATTCTTCAGTCCTTAGTGTTAGACCTGTGATTGAAGCATTTAATATGGACTGCTCTATGCCTAAAGGAAATGTGTGTCATAACTTTGTAGTGATTATATTGAAAAGTCTCAGTGTATACACGACCCTCAATAAGGCTTTTAATAGTTGTTCTGCATCTAATTCCAAACTTAAAAACAAATGTCCAAAGTCATACCATCATGGTACCTTTATTTATGAGGCTCTTTTTCTTTAAATACCCTTTTCTTAGTCGATGCTTTATCATTTTAACTGCTTCTATCCACCAGTGAAGCTGTGATTTTGAAGCTGGAGTTATAAACTAATTCTTGGCCAAGTATTACCATTTCAGCTCCCTGCTGGTGCGTGACTCAGCAGCACAGGTTGGAGCTGCTTTGGGAGGGAGAGGAGAAGCTTTTGTGTTCCTGCAGGGTGTGGCACAGCGTTTGTGCTGCTGGTGCTGGGGGCATGGCCTGGGGTCTCTCCCTCTTCTGCTCCTCTTCCCTGTGGCCCGTGGTTCCTCTTGTATCCCAGGTCTGCTTTTGAGCAGCTGTGTCGGGGGCAGACCCTGGCCTCGGATAATGGCCTGCTCCTTGAATATCTTTACGGCATTAACCTGGCTGACACCCTCAGCAATTTTTGAAGTGGGAATGAAGCTGGAATTGTGGAGTCCCTGACCTGGAAACATTTGTTCCCTGCTTTGCCCAGGCTGTGCACAGTGAGTGCAGCTGAGGGTGCTGCTGGATGTGCCCAAATGTACAAACTACTGAGACCTAACAAAATGGTGCAGACGTGCAAGGGGCAGGGCTCGTGCTTCTGGCAGTGTTTATTTCTGTAAGAGAAGTGATTGGCCGGCAGGTACAACAGCACATGGTGTGTGTGAGAGGATCGCATCAATAAAGCTGTGTTCTGACAAATGTGTCACTGCTGTTCCTGCTTCAGGGGGGTGCTGTCCCCCTCTGGGAGCTGGAGATGCTGAAATGTGCTTCACCAGTTGCTGGAGAGTTTGAGGCAGGGAGCTGGGGAGCTGCTGGGCAGTTTGGGAGGTGCTTTCTTCTACTGGTCCCACCCTACTGCAGACAGCAGAGCATGGGCCCTGCCGTAGCTCTTGTAGAGGCTGCACTGGCTGTTTGCAGGAATGTGGGTGGGTACCTACACTGACCACTTCACACGTCTTATATTTGAGTTAGTGCAGAAAGCTACTGTGTGATTATTTGCTAATTATCAGAACTGTTTTGTTTGCTACCTGAGTGGCTTCTAAATAGTACTGGGGGCCCTGTGTGGCTGCTGGGAATCAGGCAGGAAACTGGGGTTTGCTGGAGGCAACAAGTGGCTCTTCATCCAAGTTTGTTACTTCTGCTAGAAAGAAGGGTCAGGACAGGGCTGGGAGCAGGAAGCTGATGAGTGCCAGAGCTGTGGTTTGTGGCTCTCGTGGCTCATTAAATGAATCAGGACAGATTTTATGAGAGACTTGAGAAGACTTTTGCAAAACCAGTGGCAGTTGAGCAGAGATTTGTTCCCTGCCAGGTGCCTCTCTCCCCTTTGATTTAGTTTCTAACTGTGCTGCTGGCTCTTTGGGCCTTTATTCCCTTTGCAATGCTGATGGAGACAGGGAACAATCATGGAGAACTAATTACCAAGTCAGGATTTGTGCAGAGAGAAAAGAAGCCACAGCAGGCCAGGCACAACAGAGGATGGTGCTGTGCTGGTCTTGTTATGGGGTGTCTGTATTCTTTGGAAAGAATATCTAAGCAAAATAGTTGGAAATGCTCTGTGTCACAGGCATGAGGAACCCCTAGTAGGTCAGTCTGGAAAGGATAAACGTTCTTCTGGTGGATGATGTTCTGAAATTCACAAACAACTGTCAGCCTAGATTAAACATCTCTGATTTACACCACTCCAAGTCAGCAAAAGCATCCTTTCAACTTAGGGAGAGCTACCGAGTATTCTACAAGGCTCCAGGCACCACCTGAAATATTAACGTGCTCCCTGCCCTGCAGCAGTGACCTATATAGTCACAGAGCAACCTGTTCTCCATGAAGTGTTTGTGCAGTCACATCTTGACCATCCACAGCTCAAGTTCAGTGGTGTGACCTCTGAGCTAAGACTCAAGGCATGGTTATAGCTTGGGGTTGAGGGGAAAGGTGGGAATGCCTCTCAGTTTATATAGATATCAATTTTTATAGGGAGGCTAGCTTTCTTTGGGGTTTTTTTTGTGTGATTTTTTTGTTTTGTTTTTGTTTTTTTTTAAAGCAGGAAGGACTGGATTCATGTGTGTCTGTACCTGCATTTTACTTTCTCAGAGTTATGTCTGTAGCTCAGAAATGTTAATCTGGCAGAAGGGGAGGGGTGGCCTTGAGAAGTGAAGCTGAAGAACAGCTGGAACTGAGGTGACTGTAAAACAAAACATGGTCAGTGACATGGGGCATCTTGGTTTGGTAGTAGGTGGCAGGTCTGGTGGCATAATTGAGGGAGTCAGGGGGAAAAGGTGAAAGCTCAAACTTTTCAGTAAGTAGATAGCTGTCTCTGTGGTGAGAGGAGTATGATATGTTCCAAACTCTGGAGTATCTTTTTATAGGCACTGGAGAGTTCTTAAATCTGGGAAACTTTTTGGCCTCATTTCATTTGAGTGCCTGATGATCTTCCTCATCTAAGGAAGAAAGGATGAGCAGCCACAGATGTTTCTGAGATCATGTCAGTTGCTTTCAGGGTGTCTGGGTTTCAGTTTAAGTTAATTTACTCATGATGAGAGCAAGAAGCTCTTAATGGTTTTGAAAATTCAGTATTAATCTTGGACTTTTTTTAGAATCGGGTAGGAGCCATGCTTTGGTTCTGCCTTATTTCTTTGTCTATCATGATTTTGGGCAGGTGCACAAAATGAAGGGGGTGTAAGAAATGACAAAAACATACCATTTCCAAGTAGCTGTTTCTGCACAGTATCAGTTACCTTTACCCAAGTCTAGTTGAAATAGCCCAGAATTGCTTAGATGTAGAGAAATGCTTGTTTGTCATGGTTTGAGTGGTGATTATCATGCAATTTTAGGTAGTAATTGGATGGATGGTTATGTGATGGGATCAGTTGATGGTAGATGCATGAGGCTAGGGAATTTACAAAAGGAAAAGGCTTTTCTTGCCAGTCCTGGTGGCACTATTGAGGAGCTTAGTTTGATCTTAAAGTTGAGAACAAGGGGACAGGGAAGGAGTCTTCAAAAGCAAATAGGCTTCTGACAGCAGGTTTAGTTATTGGGCAGTTGCAGGCTTCTGGCACCTAGCATAAATTCAATCTAATTAAAATTAATTTTAAAAACCCACCCTAAGAACGCCCCTTTTTATAACCTTTAGTCTGGTATTGTGCATTTATGCAGATTCTGTCCTCTGTATCATATGACAATGTTACTCTTCAGCACTCCAGAAGTGAATTTATCAAGCTAAAATGGCCACACTTTTCTAGTTGGCATGTAAATTGGTTTCTTAGGTATACTTTTCCATTAATGCAAGTTGAATACGTTGCATTATAATGTATTCTGGGAATATGAATGGGGCTTCTCAGTCTTGCAGTGAGGAGAATGTCTGAGACCACATGCAAGTTGTAACATATTCTCACAAAGATTTAGGTTTATAGCCTTTCTCTGAAGTGCTTCCAATTATTCCATGCAGGAGGAGGAGTACTATTTAGAAGCTACTCAGGTAGCAAATAAAAGTTTTGATAGTTAGCAAATAATGGCATAGTAGCTTTCTGTACTAATTCAGATATAAGACATGTGAAATGGTTAGAGAGAGCAGCAATATCAAACTGAACTCTGTCTAAAGAAAGCAGATTTCCTAGTGACTACCCAGGTGTTGTACTGGGAACAGAACCTAAACCACCACCCCAGCAAGATGTGTCCTTTGACAAAAGGACTCCAGAGAGATTCAGTGTTGTCCATTCAGACAAGACCCTGCTGTGCTCACAAGGATTTACAGAAGCTTCTTTCTCTTTGCAGAAACGGAAGGCTTCAAGATTGACACCATGGGCACCTACCACGGGATGACTCTGAAGTCTGTGACGGTGAGTGGGAAGCCTTGGCTTAAATATGTTTTAGAGACATGATTGTAAACATATATACAATGTATGTTTGGAGATGGAGAGAGCTTGTCCTCCTGGCCTAGGCTCTGGAAGGTCACGTAGACTGAGTAACAATTGGTGAAAGTTCTTGTCTATGAAAAGCCAAAATGTGTTTTGTTTGATCTGCGTGTTCTAGAGGTCTGTGCCCCAGGGATTTGTTTGTCTGCAGTAAAAAAGTGTGGTGTACCGGGAAGGCTTCTTGAGGTGCAGCCTTTTTCTGTTGTACTCAACATACCCAGGTTTTTGCTGACCTTAGGTGTGTCTGGAAATTACATAAGTGATCTTAATCAAAAGTGATGGAAATATACTCAGAAAACTGAAGTAATAAACCTGGGTTTTGGAGTAGTGCTCTGTTTCCCACTCTGCATTTAATAAAATAAATTTTTTTGGTGGTGGAAGAGTTAGACCTCAGCATTACTGTTAAAGCTTTCTAGCCTGGTGAGATGGACTTCTGTTGTCTGGCTGTACAGTGCTGTCAGTGGGAACTGAAGCGTTCACAGATGAGAAGGAGAGACCCTCAAACAGATTCTCCTTTCTTTGGCCAATGTTTGTCTGCTTTTGTGCAAGTGGGTTGAATGCTCTCCCATAAATGCTATTTTGATTTGATGGTAATTATGACAGGTGCTAGAAAACTGCTGTAGTGCCTTCCTTAAGGTTTTTGCCAGCTGCATACCTATGTAAATGTGATGAATAGACAGCACTAAACACTCCTAAATCCATGCACTACTTCTAGTTTTCACTTCTTATTTGAACATAAAATAGGATCTTGAGTAGAAATTTCTGAAAAACATTCAAAGGTTTTTTGTTTGACAAAAGTCCTTTCCCAAGTCTTTCATTCCCAACTCCTCGTGACTTAGGATACTGTAAAAGAAAATGGAAGGGAATATTTAAGGAAAGAATCTACTTAGCAGTAAATAATGTAATTTCTAGATGAATTCAGAAATTGGTTGGATGAAGAAAAAAGATAATCTGTTATGTCTGAAGATGTGTTCTCAAACTTTGCATGAATTTTGGTCTGCATTATGAGGAACCAAAGTGTTGTTATACCAAACCCAGGTTCCTCTGGGATACCTGCTTCAAGGGGTAGGGATTTGAAATGAGTTAATAAATAGGTTCTGTTTAAATTGCTCTGTGGGGAGGAAATGAAAGAGAAAATCAAGATTATAGTAAAGCAGAAATATTGAAATGTTTTAAGCTTGTAAGTGTAAAATCTGTAAAAGTGAAGGGATGCACAGTAAATCTAAAAATTTATGTTTTTTTTAAGATCATAAAAATAAGTAAGGTTTTTTGTTCTAGGAATCCTACCTCATGTATTGAGCATACTGCCTAGGGTTTTGAGGTTATTAAACTGTCCTTGTTGGTTTCTTCCATTTAGGAAGAAAAATATAATAGATATTAAATTACAAGTAAACCTTTTTTTAACATAAATCAGAATTTTTTAAAATAACTGTTTAAGAGTGCACGACTGCACATAAAGAATCATCTGGTGTCATGAGAAATATTAAAACTCCATCTGTTACTCAGCTTTTGTCTAAGAGATAACTGCTGAGGGATTTTTGGAGCCTTATTTTCCAGACTATTAAAAAGGTACCGTCAATATTTAGCTCATTCATAAATTTCAGTGACATCCTGGCTTTGTGTTTCAGATGGGGGAGAAATAAATCTGTTAAATATGTTCATCTGTTTTGTCTAAACTTTGTCATAGTGATGGACCACTCAGTTCTAACGCTTAATGTCAGATCATATTTTTGTGGAGAATAGTTAATCTCCTGCCACTTGCCAGGTTTCATGTTTTGCTTTTACTCAAGTTTTTTTTTCTTTGTGGTTTTTTTTTTTTTTTTTTTTTTTTTTTTTTTTTTTTTTTTTTTTTTTTTTTTTTTTTTTTTTTTTTTTTTTTTTTTTTTTGTTTTGTTAGTTTATATTTTTTTAAGGCTGGACAAAATTAGGGAGGAAATGGGAAAGTAATTACTTCCCCATGGTGTTTTATGGGAAAGTGCAATATATTCATTGGCTAAATCATAGGAATATGGAGGATAGCATTGGAATTCATGCACCTGCATGATCTCACTGCTATCCTCGTAGCATTGGTGTAATTCCTGTAGGAACTCATCAAACAATTCAAAGGAATTAAGAGTTCTAGGTAGCTTTTGGTTAGAGGCTCTCTTCAAACTTCAAACCTCTGATTTCCAGATGGATGCTCACGTTTGAAAGCTTCTTTTTTTGCCATTGTTCTCCTTGACATGATGGCTCCTCCATTTTTCCTGTGGTGTTTGCTTCCAGTAATGTATTTCTGGGCTGTGGTCAGATTCCCTTAAAACTTACAGTTCTTACCTCCAGTGTAAAGTGATCCACTGTTTGGAGTTCCCACCTGTTTCTCATACAAACTTTGTAGAAGAATTTTTTGGTTTGTCATATATTCCCTACACTTGCACTCTGCCTTGCTGTAATTCTCTGTAATGATTTTAATGAAATGTGCAAAACTTATGTTTTGTGTTTGTTCTTGCTGAAATGTGAGCTGTCCTAGATGCTTGTTCTTTTTAACAGCAAAACAAAAACTTCTTCATCTTGACTGCTTTCTTTTCATCAGTGATGTTGGAAACTTTCTTAGCTTTCAGAATTTGTGCCAGAGCAGATGGTGAATGGTGGGCTTTTTCTGAAGTAATGTCAGCTAAAATAACTTGTGCTGCTGGCAGTTCTTCCCTGTAACAGGGTTTTTGCTTGATTGGCACACTACCTCTTCGGAAGAACTGACTTATTTATTGAATTTTTATTGTGAAGGCATGATCTCATTATTCTGGACCTGGAATTGTTTATAACAAGGCATTTTCCTCAGAAAGATTTTTAAAAATATTTTTTCCTTATTTTAGTACCTGTGGCACCTTCTGTTTGCCTGGATTGGTGATGTTTTGGAGAATTAGTAAATAAGCTAATGGTGGTAGCTCTTGCTGCTGGTTCCCCAGCAGCTCAGGTAGCAAACTGTTCAGCATGACTTTTCAAAACCTGCAGGTCTCCCTGCAGGCTTCACTTCCAAGCATAATCCCTGTGCAGAACAACAACTTCTGGTTTTTATCCAGGAAAGTTTGGTGTTTGAGGTGGATCAGTCTTTGGAAAAGTATGTTTGTATTTCTGTACCACACAGGGTGTGAGGTGATGCTTAAGCTGATATTCTGAACATTCTTTGTTACTTGTGTAAATTTGACATCTTTGGGGCTTTAGCCTCCTGCTGTTCTGAAGGGTGATGTTAAATTGGAGGCCAGTGTCATCTGGTGGAAGCCTAGGTGGGTCTCACCTTTTGCATACAATGAAATGGAATTTTGGGCTATTCATTTCTCTAACTAGGATATGTGAAGCATTTAACTCTTAATGTAGCTCAAGATGTAAAGATCAGAACAGACCAGTTAGCTGCACCTGGGGCAGGATAGGAAGAAGTTGCTTGTTCTGTGAGCACCTGATAAAGCTGAACTCTTCCAAGCTGAGGGCATGCTTTGTAGTGGCTGTGTGCACTTGCAAATATTTGTTTATCCATTACAGTAATAGTCATGGTGATGCTGGTTTTACTCATCTTTGTGCTTTTATCCTTGAGTTCTTATGGCTTTAATATGAAAGGAACAAATAGCATGAAAGGCTGTGGGATTGTGTAGGGTGATTTCCTCTGAGTTTGAGTGCCCTGGCTGGTCAGGAGCTGTGATTCAGGGAGCTGGAAACTTTTGTTCAAGTGAACAAGAACTACATAGCACTACAATGGGCCCTTGTAGAAATTAATTTTTTTGCTGGAAAAATCTGGTTTCAACTTGGGGTTTCTTTTAGCATTCAGGGCTGCTGAAGCTTGGGAGCTTCCTTAGTCTTTGGTTTTTGCTGCTAGCAATGGAATGTGTCATTGATCATCTGCACATTTGCCAGAGCTACTGTTGGCATTTCTTCCTCTTCCTGTTCAGTGAACAGGCAGGTGCAAGAGCTGCTGTAGGATTGAGCTGATGGCCTTCCCAGAGAGTCTGGAGCTACACCTGTGTGATCAGTATGGTTAGTGAGGACTTCACTGGAGGCACTTCGCTTACAACAAACTCAAATGCAAATTTCTGTGGTGCATTCAGACTTTGTAAGTAAGAAATTCTATGTAAATGTTCAGTGCTTCTGAGCTGAGTGATATTTTTCCTCCAAACTGACAAAAGTAACATCCCTCTTACCATTGCACACTTCCAGGCTTTACAGCAATCTCTGGGTACAAGTGCCCTGAGTAAACAGATGAGAATATCAATAATTAAAGTAAATGCACTACATTTCAGTTACAACAAATACATTTCATAATCCTAGCAGAAACCAAGTAATTAAAAAGGAAGTCCCTATGTAAACCACAGTACAAGCAGGTCTAATTTCAGAAGAATTGGAGACTGGTTCAGCACCCCTAAGGTCAACAGCATTTTTCAGTCAGTATCAGATTTGAGAAATTAATTAATCAGAGGATTTTACTGTTATTGCCCTCAAAATCTTTTGAGTTGGGTATAACCTTTGTAGTTTTTTTTTAACTGAGGGGTTGTTTAACCACCTCTGGTGTGTCTTCAGAGGAATAGTATGTAATATAAACAAATGGAATTACTAAATTATGGCACTTTACAGACTGGGCCACTGGAGAGGAAGCAGTTGGGGCAGAAACAATTAACATGGTGTGTGCATGTGTTTTTTATATAAAACTTAAGAAAATTAATATGCTTCTGTGTGAGGAGGTAAATCCACAGGATCTTATAATTGATCATGAGTAATTTGTGATTCAGTGCCAAAATTCAAAATGGCTGTTTAGAAGCATATGGTGGAGTTGGAGGTTGTCTCTCAGTGTTCAGATAAATAACACTTTGAAAAAGAAATAAAAACTTAATACATCTTTAATATTAGAGATGGAAGAGAGATACCAGCTTATCCACATCAGCAGTTTTCTGTGTCATGTTCTA